TCGCAAAAAGAAAAGGAGGACTTGTGGCACCTTAGAGACTAACCCATTTATTTGAGCATAAGCTTTCGTGAGCTACATCCGATGAAGTGAGCTATAGCTCACGAGAGCTTATGCTCAAATAAATTCGTTAGTCTCTAAGGTGCCTCAAGTCCTCCTGTTCTTTTTACAATGGCAAATAAAATTCAATGTTGATAAATGCAAAGTAATGCACATTGGAAAACATAATCCCAACTATACCTACCAATGTGGGGGTTTAGCTTGAGGGCTCTGGGGGTCTGTGATATACAGGAGGGCAGGCTAGATGGCCTTGTGGTCCCTTCTGCCCTTAAACTCTAAAATTTGGGGGTCTCTCCTGGGTCCGTACCTAAGGTGGCTAGTTCCCCGGGGCTGTCACAACCATGCTTTCTGGAGCTAGGGCTGGTGTGTCTCCTGAAGCCGGTCACCTCACCCAGCAGCATAGCCTCTCCTATGATAAATAGGGGGCATAGCACCAGCCAGTCGGAGGGCAGGAGACAGGAGAACACAAGAGCTCAGTTTCTCGGTTTCCATCGTGCCCAGAAGCCAGGACTAAGGGGCAGTTGCAGCTGGTTGTCCCTGCTATCCCTGACAGCTTGCTGTATCTTTGCCTCTTCCTCCTGCCTGTCACGGAGTGTTTTCAGCCAGAACCCACATCCTGGTTCCTCTGTGGGTCTTGCAAAACCAGCACAATGGCTCTCTTCAGTGGGACCTTGCATCATTTTTCTGCACAGACCCACCTGTCCTGCGGCACCCCACTCGTCACATTCCAGCTCCAGGTGTGTGGAGCGCGTGTGACCGTCAGACGTTCAGCGCGCCCAGCGGCTGAGCGAGCCGACAGGCGACTCCCTGTGCAGGCACCCTCAGAGCTCAGCTTGTTACCTCTGCCAGCCCAGGTGCAGGTGAGGCCGTGCAAGTCAACACTGGCCTAGCTCCTACCAGCGCTTCCATGAGGCAGCGGGGCGTGCGCAGGAATTTAAATTTGACCCCTTTTGGAGGGGCACCTTCTGTGAACCCTCAGGAGCTCGCTCTTCCCTCCCCCTGCAGGAGCTTCCTCTCCCCGCCCCCTCCCCCCACCCAGCAGGGGCTTGCTCTTAACTCCACCGCCAGGGCTGGAGGAGTTCTGTGCCCACCGATGACTATTGGGGGGAGGGGGCCTCTGCCCCTGCTTGCCCCCACTTGTGCACGCCCCTGTGAGGGGGTGACATAACACAGCTCTCTGTCTGGGCAAGCTGAGGGCCAGCCAGACTCTGGCTCATGGGAGACCCGTCCCAGCAAGGAGAGGTTGGAGGGCTGGGGTGCCATGTAACGCTGGGGTTCCAGCGGTGGAACTGTTATCCGGCTGTTATCCACCGGGGCGTGTGGTGGGGGAGACCTCCCATCCCCTGGGGAATCCGGGCACGGCCACCACAGCACTGGCCGGGGAAGGTGGTAGCTTTTTGTGTCCTGCTGCTTAACTTCTACCTGCTTATTGCCCTAAGTCCCGGACACATCCGATATTCTCTCCCCTGCCCCTTGTGGGACTGAGCCTCGGCCTGCACCAGAGCAGGACCTGAGGACACGTGTGGGAGACGGTTGCACTCTGAATCTGGGAGCACACAGGCACCGTTATGATCCTCTCGTCTGACCTCCTGCCTAGCGTGGGCCACGTTACACCCCTCCCTGCCCCTTCCCCTGGGATTCCTGCACCGAGCCCAGTTGCTCGTGGTGGAACTAGAGCCCATCTCTTAAAAGGACCCATCTGGATTGGAAGATTTCAGGCAGGGCTGGCTGATAACCTGCCATCAAAAATGGTTTTCGACAGGCCACTTGGTTTTCAATTCAATGAATTCTTTGATGAAAAGCGTCTACTTTCCGCAGAAACATTCCGCTTCTCCTGAGGAAACAGAACAGCCGAAAACTGACACATTGCAATTCAGGGTCTCATGGGAGTTGTTTGCCTTATGCCCCCTTCCTTTTCACGGGGCCAGGTTCCTCAGCCAGGCTGCATCTCCCAGAATGCACTGCAGCTAGGAACTCCCGTGGTACACTGCAACAGCTGAACAAGAGAGGGGGGGGTCAAGGTGGATCATGGGAGATGTAGTCCAATGAGGGAAACCAGCCTGTAGAGAAGAATCAGGGCATGAGAAATCCAAACTACAACCCCCATGAGGGGGCACGTGGCAGCAATTCTGAATAGAATTTTTCTAGCTTCAGCCAAAAGTTTTGGTTTTTTTCACCAAGTTTCCATGGCAAAAACCACATCCCTAGGCAAGGGATTTAGTGGGTGTTGGTCCTGCTTTGAGCAGGGGATTGGACTAGATGCCTCCTGAGGTCTCTGATTCTTTGCAAGCTAATTAAGGTAGTTAATTACCCTCGCTGCAAAAACTGCGCACCTTTCTTCCAGTTTGAAATTGCCTTTGTCGTTTTGCAATGGACCTACTTAGTCAGCCCAAAAAAGAGTGCCCCAATTGGGTGTTAGACAGGTGGAGAGCAATCAGCAAAGGCTGTCAGGCCCCGAATACACTCAGAGCCGTCATTCTTCGAAACTCCCTGGATTTGTCTCCCCATCCTCGACAGCTCAGACCCCAGTTTCACATGGGACTGAGTCCCGGTTTCACGTGACCCTGGAAGATTTCGTATCCTCCAAGGCCTTTTCTGTGGAGCTCGCAGCAACCTCCTTTAATGAGCCCATTTGATCAAGCTGAATATTTTTGCCTTCCGATGGGCACATCTGCCACACAATCAGCTCCAGCCTTCAGCCGTCCCCTTTGTTTGCCTCTGTGCCTAGACAGCATTGGGACACACCTCCTCTACGAAGTCCTACAGGCAAGATCTACAGTACCAGCCCGACCGGATGGGATCTGCATGGCCTGGAAAAACCTCCCGGGCCCTGTCTGCACACGCTGGCTTAAAACTGATGTACAGCAACAAGCACAAACCTTGGTGTGGACACTCCAATCGGTTTAGCATCTCCCCAGGTGAAGGGAGTGGAGGAGTCAGTGTCATAAGGGGAAGGATGTGACTAGAAACCAGGCTTGCTGGGGATTATAAGGCCAGCCTGAGTTTGGACAGAGCTGTGGGATGGAGCCAGTGGGAGGAAGGGGGCTAGTGGCTTTCCAGAGAGATGATCCTGAGCACTCAGGCACAGGGCAAGGCGCGTGCAGGGAGTAGGAGCCAGCGAGGAAGGCTGGAGTTCAGTGTTAGCCAATACATATATGTTACGCATAATCTACACCATGTTAATAGGTACTATGTGCATGGTATTCTTCTAGTGCACATTATATACTATTTACTGCGCACCATATGCCCACAGTTCTGTTCACCCCTGTCAGGAATCCCACAAACCCTTCGCAAAGCTGAAGTCAGCATTGACATTCGAAAATAGGAACCGTGTCAGAGCAAAGGTGCATGAATACTCTCTCTCCAGGACACTTAGGGAGTCCTGTCATGGCTCATCACTGTCTGGAGTGGAGTATACCGAACAGGACATGGGCTAATACAAAGAGGTACCTTACGGACCAGTACCGGGAATTCTAGCATCCAGAATAAAGCAAGGTACAGAACAAGTTAAGGAACTGGTGGATTGGATGTAGAGAAAGGTTTGTAAGGTGCTGAAATGCATCTCTTTGAAGCACACCTTGGGTGTAAGGTAAACACACTGTGAGAATATGCTTCCCAGACGGAGGGGCTGTATTTCATATTGTACTGTTCTGTCTTTAGACAATAAACGGGCTATGCTTGGTTATTTGGTCTCTTGAACATTTTTAAGACTGAACTGTGAGTGCAGTCAAACAATCGGCTCCTACGCTACCCACTAACAGTTACTCCTTTAGCTCGAGGGTGAAGGCTCCTCTTTTAGCACTGATGGTCCAGAGTTCAATTCTGACCGACCACCCACCCAGCAAAGTGCCCGGTCACCAGAGCTAACATGGTGTATTTCGGAGGTGGGAACATCAGGGTGGGCCCATGTGCCCCATGAGAGCTGTGTACCAGGGTGGCCTCGTTGCTTTTTGCAAGCATGGACCGTTATGCATATAAACACAGGGTGAAAAGTGATGGGAGGGACCGGGTGCTCCAGAGAAGCTGACCCAGCATTACAGGAGCGCTGCACTGTGCAACCGTCACAGCACCTCTGCCTAGGAAGAGGGGTGAGGCCAGAGGTCAGCGTGCCGAGCTGAGCATCTCACTAGCACCATGAGGAAGATGCTTCAGGCCGTATCCTGCCTCTGCCCTCTTGCAGGAAGCAGGAGACTTGCTGTCCATCAGCTATGCCTAGGGCTTAACTGTACTCTGCTCACCCTTGTATCGGACCAGGTCCCGGTTGGTCCCTAATGTGAGTCCGATGCGAGGACTTGAACGACCAAGGTGCGAATGCAACCTGCTATGGCATTAGCCTGTATTTGAACAGCATTGCATGAGTGTGTCATGTTTAATGACCCGCTCTCACTGCCCCAGCCTCAGCGCCATTCAGCTGTATTTCGTTTCCTACAGCCTTCTGCCTTGCCGTTCGGCAGAGGGAGAACGCTGAGGAATGCAGAAGGGAAGCAACTTGCCTAACTTTACCCAACGTCAGAGTGGAGCAGAAGTGGGAACAGATCCCAGGACTCCTGGCTGGTGCTTAGAATAGAACCCATGTGTCTTGACTCCCAGAACCTCCATTTTACCCACCAGACAATCCTTCCTCCCAGTGCAGTCAGATGAGAAGCAACATGACTTGGCTAAGTTTACCCACTGAGTCAGTGGCAAATGTGAGAGTAGAACCCAGGAGTCCTGGCTCGCAGTCCTGGGCTGGGAATAGAGCCCAGACTTCCTGACTCCTGCTTGTATCTTATCCGCCGGGCCACCCTTCCTCTCCCACCCCCATTTACACTAGCTCTCGTACGCCGTGAGTAGGACCATTGTTACACCATTGTCAGGAGACTGAAGAACACGGCAAACAGACACAGGGGAGTGCATTGGAGGAGAGTTTTATTGCTACATTATCAGCCCAAACAGGCAAAGATTCTCTGGTTACATTAGATATTTACAAAATCTCATCTCGGTTTAACTCAAAGGGTCTCCCTGATTTCGGTGGTTAGGGTCATCGCTGAGGTTAGTGCCACAGCCATGACACCCGTGCCCAGAGGAGCTTCCAGGAGCGGGGCCAGAATTATGCTCAGGCCCAAGTTAATGGGGGCCATGCACATGTCCTTGCCCTTGCTCCTCACCCTGCTTCACACCCTTGTGTGACATATTGTGAGCATGTATGGCCAATTTCGCCAGGGTGGTAACGAACTCTTCGAAATGGAGGTATTCATTTTTGTTTTTGTTGGCCTTCTGAAACAGGTCTTCTATGTAGTCAGCTTCTTCCATCCCGTGCTGCAAAAGAAGGAAGAGTAAAAAGAAGCATTAGCAACACGGTGGTAGGAGGTTGCACTCCCAGTGGTTGTCAATGAACCCTCCTTGCAACTTTTAACAGCAAAATACTATTCTGCAACCTCTGGATTTGGGGAGAGATTTCAAAGCTCCAAAGGGCTGCTAGACACCCGGCTCCCAGTGTCTTTCAGGGGGAGTTAGCTGACTGCTAATCACTGACAGAGAAAATATGAAACTGAAAGTGCTTCGAGAAAACCCTCCGTGTGTACCATGAAATCCCCATTCATCTCTCTGAGGCTACTCAACCATTTCTTTGGTCCTTACTGGCTCTGCCAGCTTTTCCATCAAGGCATTTGCCAAGACGGGAAGAGAGAAGATCCAGAATAAAGTTCAGTATCTCTTGGTCTCTGTGTTTATCGATCGAGTGTTCTTCTCCACGCTAGTGGAGCAAACGTTAGGTTAAAGCAGCATAAATAGATGCTCAGCAGCATTTGCTTTCAGATTAACTTCTACTGCCCCACTTGACTCTCGGGCCACTAATGTGGTGACTGTCTCCCAGAGAAGTAAAGCAAAGGAAAACGATAGGCCAGATCCCCAGGGGCAGTAAATCACCATCATGGAGACTCCCAACGCCTCCCACAGACAGCACCATGTCTCAGCTTACCGGCAGAGTGCATCTCAGAAATGAGTTGGCCTCCTTTTTGAGCAGCTTCTTGAATTCATCCTTCTGCAGGTAATCGTCCTCGCTGCACTCACTTTCAGAGTACTTGTGGTATACTTCGATAATGTCATTCAAGGCTTTTTCCAGCTTGCTCGTCATCTCGCTGAGTGTCTAGGGAACCTGAAACAGGATGACAGTTAACACACGAACGAACTCTCCCTTCTGTCTCGGTCCGCCTTGATCGACGCTTGTCCAGTCTTTCGGAAGGTACCAAGAACAGTATCATGTTATCACTGGTTTTCGAATAGCTCGGAGAGGCCCCAGCTGAGATCAAGCCACCATTGCACTAGGCTAGGTGCTGTACATAGAGCGTCCCTGCCTCTAAGTGGGGATGAGGCAGAGAAAGGATTATTGATCCTCTTTTACAGATGGGGAATTGAGGCACAGAGTGATTACAATCACTCAGGGAGGCTATGGCAGAGTGGGAATTAACCCCAGCTCTCCTCAGCATTAGTCCAGCAGTGTATCCATGAAGGCAGCTTTTCCTGAGGAAAGCAGGCTTTTGGATGCTCCCTGACTTACCTTTCCCATGAGCCCTGCGTCTGCCCCCCTTGATGTTCAAACATAGAATCTAAAGCCCTCTCCGTGTGCCTTGGAGAATATCCTTTACTTGCAGCAGCATTTCCTATCCCTGCTTCGGGGCGGGGGGGGCGGGGGTCCTGCTTCGTGATCCCCCTAAAGCAGCCCGGCAATATCCCCTGTTTATAAAGCACTATACAAGGCAGTTGGTTAGAAAAGCTGGCGTGTGGTTCAAATAAATAAATAATAGGGCTACTTATCATAAACGGACTTACCTGAGTCTCGGAGTGCGGAAGAGGAGACAATCAGTCAGGTGTGGTGAATACAGCACAGAGATCAGATGCTTTTATACCCTCCTTGAGCTGAGTCTTGCGCAGACCACGCCCTTAGACTGCGGCATTATCGTTTCCTTCTTTAATGATATCGGGAGCCTTGTGCAACGCTCCACTCCCGGCACGCCCAGGCGAGAATTCTGGAACCTGTACAGAAAGTAACGCCTGCCAGGGTCGCTTCAAAGGCGGTGTTTGGGCGTTCGCTCTGTGCAACCAGCCAACAAGGGGCACAGAGAGCGGTGCAGAGGGTTGCAGGAATCCTGAGGCTGGTATGTGCATTCTAGCTCCCCAAACAGCATTACGGGGGGGTCTCAAAAGCCAGTGCCTCACTGGTCATCAATGTCATTGCAAAACGCCCGTATGGATGCTGTGTAGGGAGTTATAGCCACTGAAAATACATTCTTCGAGTCTGTGTCCAGGGAGGTTGGTCACCAGCAAAGGTGAAAACCAAGTTTTGTCAGACAAGAGATGTTTAATCTGTAAATCTGGTCCACAGTGGGCCTCCTAACACCAGTCTGAACTGAATGCAAAGGAAGGGTTGTGAGAACTTCAGAAACAAATGAAGAGGAAGAGAAAAACAGCGGGGCGGTGCGGGGGTAGAACCTCACTTTGAAGGATTTCTCTACTATATTTGGGGTGCAGAGAAGACACCCCCTGCCTAGGAAGTCAATGGATAGCAGATTTGCTTTATGAAAGTGGGATCTCAAGTAGGCTCGGTTGAAAACGCTGCCAGATCTTCGACTCCTATAAGTCAATGTTGTTCATTGATTTTAACGGCGCAACGTTGATTTAATACCAGCTGGTGGCTCTCTGGCCCATTGACTTCAATGGAGCCATGCCTCTGTACACCAACTGGGGATTTGGCCCACTGACTTCAATAGATCCATGCCCCTTTACACAGCTTAAGATATGACTCGATGTCTTTAGTTCTCGAGCCAAGAACGCAATGTTCCAGGTCAATTTCTGCTTCCTGTACATGTGGGCGGTGGGTAATGGCCCATATTTCTTCATTCTCTTGCACACACTTTTAAACCCATAAAATATATGCTCCGCCCTCCATTCTGCATCTCCCTAGGGACTACTCCTTTCTCAACAGTTTTCTAAGGGAATAGTTTCTTGCAAAGGAGGAGATGGTTACGCCCCTGAAATCAGCCCAAGGCTTATTAAATGGACGGCATTTCACAGCAGTGTTCCTCGTTATCTTAATAGGAGCAAAACTGAGACAAAGTCAGCAATTAGCCCCTATTGGCCTGGCCTCTTTTAACACATCTGGTAAAACAGCAATTTGTCACCTGCCCTGAATTCTCTGAGATGGACCTTTTTCCCCACTAGAAATACATTCTCCATAACCAGCATTTTGCATTGTTGAGCCATGTCACCTGCCAGCTTTTTCCTGCCTTCAGTAAAACTTGTGAGACTTGAAAGAAAGAACCGGAAGTTGCTCCAATAATTCCTTCTCGTGGTGGGAGGATTGCACGGCCCTCTTCCCTCCACTCGTTCCGGAAGGGGCAGCCCAGCCTTGTCCACCCAGGGCCCAATCCCCCAAGCACACTCCAGGCATTGCATGGGAACGGAGCAGTAATGCAAAGTCATTCCGCCTGTCCCAATGCCAAAGTCTTGCATCGACTGGAGACTCTGCCAGCCGTGTGTGGATGAGTTGCCAAACTAAAGTCATTGCAGCACATGATAAAATCTTTGGGCATTTCAGTCAAGTGCATCATCCTTTGGATATAAAGTTCAATGCCACCCACTGTGCTGTGCAGCCTTTTCTATTTCTCCAAGGGTATGCCTCAGGAACCTCAATTTGCAGGCTCGACCCCTTCCTTGGCACGCTCTGTAAGGTAACAAAGACAGCTTAGCACAGACCGTAATGTTCAGCTTGCCTTGATCTTGGGTCAAAGCATTTCCCTCAGATGTTCCAATAAGCTTCTTTCACAGACTAGACTTCTTCTTAGTCTGGGCCCAATCCTTTCCCCTGGTACAGTCCTTGTCAGTTCCAGCTCAGGTGGTAACTAGGGGATTTCTCATGATGTCAGCCTCCTTTGTTCTGTTCCACCCCCTTTAATAGCTTTGGCACAAGGCGAGAATCTTTTGTCTCTCTGGATTCCCCCCCCCTCCTAAATGGGAGGAGTGGTAGATACGCTGGAGGGTAGGGATAGGATACAGAGGGACCTAGACAAATTGAAGGATTGGGCCAAAAGAAATCTGATGAGGTTCAACAAGGACAAGTGCCAAGTCCTGCACTTAGGACGGAAGAATCCAATGCACCGCTACGGACTAGGGACTGAATGGCTCGGCAGCAGTTCTGCAGAAAAGGACCTAGGGGTTACAGTAGATGAGAAGTTGGATATGAGTCAACAGTGTGACCTTGTTGCCAAGAAGGCCAATGGCATTTTGGGATGTATAAGTAGGGGCATTGCCAGCAGATCAAGGGACGTGATCGTTCCACTCTATTGAACGCTGGTGAGGCCTCATCTGGAGTACTGTGTCCAGTTTGGGGCCCCACACTACAAGAATGATGTGGAAAAATTGGAAAGAGTCCAGCGGAGGGCAAGAAAAATGATTAGGGGACTGGAACACATGAGTTATGAGGAGAGGCTGAGGAAACTTGGGTTGTTTAGTCTTCAGAAGAGAAGAATGAGGGGGGATTTGATAGCTGCTTTCAACTACCTGAAAGGGGGTTCCAAAGAGGATGGCTCTAGACTGTTCTCAGTGGTAGCAGATGACAGAGCAAGGAGTAGAATCATAGAATTATAGAATCATAGAATATCAGGGTTGGAAGGGACCTCAGGAGGTCATCTAGTCCAACCCCCTGCTCAAAAGCAGGACCCATACCCAATTAAATCATCCCAGCCAGGGCTTTATCAAGCCTGACCTTAAAAACTTCTAAGGAAGGAGATTCTACCACCTCCCTAGGTAACGCATTCCAGTGTTTCACCACCCTCTTAGTGAAAAAGTTTTTCCTAATATCCAATCTAAACCTCCCCCACTGCAGCTTGAGACCATTACTCCTTGTTCTGTCCTCTTCCACCACTGAGAATAGTCTAGAACCATCCTCTCTGGAACTACCTCTCAGGTAGTTGAAAGCAGCTATCAAATCCCCCCTCATTCTTCTCTTCCATAGACTAAACATCCCCAGTTCCCTCAGCCTCTCCTCATAAGTCATGTGTTCCAGTCCCCTAATCATTTTTGTTGCCCTTCGCTGGACTCTCTCCAATTTATCCACATCCTTCTTGTAGTGTGGGGCCCAAAACTGGACACAGTACTCCAGATGAGGCCTCACCAATGTCGAATAGAGGGGGACGATCACGTCCCTCGATCTGCTCGCTATGCCCCTACTTATACATCCCAAAATGCCATTGGCCTTCTTGGCAACAAGGGCACATTGCTGGCTCATATCCAGCTTCTCGTCCCCACTGTCACCCCTAGGTCCTTTTCCGCAGAACTGCTGCCTAGCCATTCGGTCCCTAGTCTGTAGCTGTGCTGTAGTAATGGTCTCAAGTTGCAGTGGGGGAGATTTAGATTGGATATTAGGAAAAACTTTTTCACTAGGAGGGTGGTGAAGCACTGGAATGCGTTACCTAGGGAGGTGGTGGAATCTCCTTCCCTAGAAGTTTTTAAGGTCAGGCTTGACAAAGCCCTGGCTGGGATGATTTAGTCGGGTATCGGTCCTGCTTTGAGCCGGGGGTTGGACTAGATGACCTCCTGAGGTCCCTTCCAACCCTGATATTCTATGATTCTATGACTGGAAGGTCAAATGGCACATGTATCAGTCTTTAAAACATGTCCACTAACTGCCTTCTCCAATGGAAAATATCCTTGCCACACTTATTGACTGACTCATAGATTTTCTAAGGCCAGAAGGAACCATCTAATCCAACATTCTCCATAACACAGGCCACAGAATTTTACCCAGTAATTCCTGTATCCAGCCAATAGTTTGTGGGTGAACTCACGTGTGCCTTTGTGCTGGGAGAGAAGCTGAGCCCTGATTAGGGGCCGGGGCTTCTCTGACTACGGGTCCTAGAAAGGGAGCCAGCCAGTCAGGGAGTGGCACAGGAGCCAGCAAACAGAGCTGTAAACAGGGGAGTCTGAGGGGGAGTTTGTCAGGGGAGTTTGCCTTGTGGTGCTTGTTTGGGGTTTGTTTGTGCTGTGGGGGGTGGTGTTTTGGTGTGGTTTGTGTTTCCCAGCTTAACAGGATTTAGGCGGGAAGGTGATGACAGACACAGAGGCAGCAGTGGGAGTGACCCATGTCGTGG